TTTTCGTTGCCCATGGTACCGCCACCACTCCCACCACCACCATTAACGTCTTTGCCCCCTCCTCCCCCAGAGATACCACCTCCTTTGCCTCCATCTCCACCACCTTTGCCTCAAGTTCCTCCTCCACCTAGTTCTCCACCTCCACCTCCACCCCCACCTGTTGCAGAATCACTCCAAGTGGAAAGTTCAGGACAGTGTCCACAGTACCAGTGGCAAGGACAATTATGTAAAAGTGGGGTTCATTATTGCACAATTTATGCTCTGAGAGTTGATTCAGATGTTTTCAAGTATTCCAATGCCATGTCCGAACCTACAGAGTAAGGGCATTTTATGTTTTGCTGCTATCAATTTTCCTTGAATCTGGTCTTTGTTTTTCCACCCTTTTCAAACACGGACAACATTCTGTTTACGTAAGTTTCCTGGTAATTTGGTGCAGATGGCCAGCCAAATTAGATATGACCAAACGGACAGACTTTCGGCATGTGCAGTCGACATTTACTAACACTCCACCGCATAAAGTGAGTATCATAACGTTCCCATCTGATCCCGCAATTATATTTCATCAATTTAAATGCGTTCTTGATGGATTTTTTTGGCTTGTAATGCAGAGGGAAATATGCAGACTCTTCCCATCTTCTCCCAACGACCATAAAGGAGTGAGTTATACTATTTCCATAAATTGCGTTGCAATATAGTTTCATTAGGTGGTTTTTGACCTCCTAGGCGTCCTTTGTCTATTTGCTATAGAACACGTTTCTGACATCTATTGCTTAGACTTTCATCAGTAATGTGTCTTAACAATTTTTGTTTCTGCAGTTTCAGGATTTCATATCATACTTGAAGCAGAGAGAATGTGCCGGCGTGATAAAGATTCCAGCTTCGAAATCGATTTGGGCAAGGCTGCTCTTCATCCTTCCTTACTCACTTGATGTGTGCTCTATGCTCTCAATTCCACCTAGTACAACACCAGATTGTCTCGTTGCTTTGCTTTTGCCCAAAGAAACAAATTTTGAATGGGTATAATACCGTGACAAATTAAAATTTGAGCGCGTTCTTGAGGCCTAAATTTCTTGTTTTGTACTCTAGCGCATTGCAATTTTGACAGTCCGTTGTAATACGCGGGCTTTTGTTTAGGTATGGGCACATAAGTGGTCAAGTGCTGAATTTTGTTGTGTATATATATAAGGGTTAATTTCAATAATAACACTCCTGAGAAAATGATTATTAATTTTAGCACCATTTTTTTATACTTTCACAATTAGTATCACCATG